AAATGCCAAATGCCAAAGTGTTTTCAGAAACGTGTCACTGCACCATGGCCCACACATATGCATCTGGCCACATGCAGCCTCCTGCTGCAAATGGGATCTTCCAAGGGTCTTCCTGTTGAACCCATGACCGTTCTTCACGCCCCGTTGGTCAAGAACGACATCGTGACATCACCCGCCTTCGATCTCAGCCAACTTCTCTGCCACTGAGGCCTGGCGGCCACCAGGGTGGGTGTTTATCCTTGACACACGCTATCGTGGTCCTGCAAAGCTACCAATGGTAGACTAGTGGACCATCAGTGGTCTAAGGATCCAAAGCACTTCACGCCAACGTGCCCTGCCTTCTGTGTAACCGGAATCTAGCCAGGACATGCCAGGACTGCAGTTGGGGCTCCGTGGTTCAGTGCCGTTCTATATGCCCTCCATACCCTCCATTTAGAGGCTACGGCTCTTGGAAAAGAACCCTAAACAAGACATCACACCAACAAACTTCCTTGCATAGTGATCCCCCAAACAGGCAGTGGCACGGTCCCAATACATGTTCAGTGGGGATCCACAAACGTTTATCTTTTTGGGGGTCCATATCGATATCTAAAAAGAAAACGTCTCAGCTTCCAGGCTCGGCCTGGAGTCGGGCCACCACTTCGAAGGGATCGTCGCCTGACCGAGACAAGGCCGAGGGACCTGCGACTGAAGAGCCCCAGCTGCAAAGCTTCAGAAATTGACTGATCAATCAACATGTTTCAAAGTTCATCCAAATTCCGATCGTAGATTCAGCTCCATCTCCATTCCAGATCGGCCAACAAAAAGAATCCCTCCTGTTTGCTCCACTTTGAAGCGTCGTACCACATCAACGGCCTTGTTCCTCGGTTGCAGCTTGTTGGGTGAACGGTGGCCACCAAACAACGCGGCTCAACCTCAACCTGACTGGTGCGAAGTAAAGAATGGGGGAATGGCTCGGTGTCTATCCTCTAGTATCCATAGTGTGGGTCATTCCCTTCTTTCCCTGCTAAACACCGGTCAGAAGCTGGACCAACTCATCCCTTGGTGCCTAGTAGATGCTACAAATTGCTACATGCAGTAGCTTCTTTGGACCCGCGTTTGGTACTCCGGTACCCTTGCTAGTGGGACGCGCATGGCCGAAATGGCCACGATGGAGCCCTCGTCGGGAGAAGATACATGGAACGGAAATGACAATGATCTTAGAACAAGTATCGCATCTACCCAAACGTCAATCGAATCTGGTTCTCCTTCACGACCATTAGCTTTTGATGCTTTTTGGTGTCCTTTCGAAATAGCTTGCTTGTTCAACCACCCCAACACTCAGAGCAAAATCAGGACGCGTCACGAAGAGCAAATCTCCACCAACTTGGGGTCCTCATCCAACATTCGTTGGAGTTGCACCTGGCTTTCTGTGAACCGCCACGGTCCACCATCACGGGCCAGTCACGGCTGGCTCTCACCACCCCGACACGGGGCTGCTGTTGAACCTGGCTCAACCAACCCAAACTGATCACCTTAGCAAGGACTCCCAAGTTGCACTGGGTCTGACTCCATCAGTTTCGGAGAAGACCGGTGAACCTCCAGGTCAGTCCCCCAGCTGAAGGGCTGACCGCAGGATATCCACTCATCCACTGACTGGGTAGGTCTTTCTATAGCCAGTACTGCTCTCGGCGTCCAATCTGCCAGGTTGGCCCTGTTGACCACAATTCCCGCCTGGGGCCGATCAACATGTTCGCTTTGGACGTGACGAGTGAACATGTTGGGTGTATTGGACGTGTGGAGTCCAGCAACCACCCACGGGAGTATATACAGGATGGGGAGCGTCTTCACGTACTTTGGCATGTCGCCTGTTCACAAACATGTTCGGGCTGTTGAGGTGCTTTAGGTTTTTAGGTTTCATGCAAACGTTGCACTTTGCACGCGCTTTTTGAGTCGGATGTTTTTCCCACTAGTCTTGGACTATCAAGGCGGGTTTCATTACGAGGCACCTGGGCCTACCACATCTCTTTTTCAATCCCCATTTCTTCCAACACCTGCGGTGTGCGTATATCATGGATCTATGTAGTGCCCTAACTCACGCAGTACCAGAGAGATGTTCGCCACATGTCTGGCAAAAGGGTCCCGGCACATTTGGCACATTGGCACTCATGGCATGCGCAACAGAGTCCCGCCACATCAACGACCAACGCGTGGCGGTTCCGTCGTTCCGGTTCGAAGACGTCCCATTTTCCAGGGCCCAGCTGAGACGTTTCATCTTGGTGCGTTCCTTGTCTTTCGGCACGCGTCGGGACGGGGGAAAAGACTGAAGCCCCAAGCCATTTCTTGAGAGGTCGGCATCTTCTCCTCCTGGATGGCTGGGTTTGTGGAACCTCTCCCTACGGGGCAGAGCTGGTCATACAGAAACAGTACTCGAGAAGGTAAAAAACCAGGTTTTACTGGGTCTTTGGACTTGCAAGGTCTGGTTTCTCAAGAATTCTCAGGAAGTCTCAGGGACTTTTTCGCTGGCTGGATGGCTGGGATTCGCGAATCCGTCTGTTTTCATTCTCTTTTCTAGATTTACCACCGTGCTGCGCCTTCTTCTCAGTATGTCGCTTTTGATGGGGCACAAAAATATCCCTATCAAGTAGGGCCATGTGCACCCAACATCTCCTCCACCTCATTCTCGTCGTCTAAGACGTCTGGCTCCTCCTGGTGCGGAGCCAGATGGCATGCCAAATGGCACACAACGCCTAACACTACACCCGCACGTGGGTGCGACGGTGTGACGACCAGGATTCGCGTCTTTCCACGAGAGAAAAAAGGGCGCGGAAGGGCACCTTGCTGAGCCTCCGCTCCTTTCCAATCGAAGGCGGGGTGCCATCATCACCACTGTCACCACTCCCACCGTCGACCACCCGATCACCGATTACCCGATCGCCCGCCTGATCTTCCAAAGCCAAAGCTGACTGCGTGGACCTCGGTTTCGCCCGAGAAGAAGCCCACAAAACAATCCAACAGCCAAAGAAATACCTTTTTCAAACTCTCAGCAATCAGAAATCATACTAAGAAAGAACTCCAACCATCTGCCCATGAACCTTTTGTGTCTATTCTCCACCTGCCAAACAACCCCCCCTTGACCCCTTGCAAGGGGTCGCCCATGCGTCGCGTGACCGCTGGGGGGAAACCGATCGGGTTCTTCTGGCCGTCTTAATGATCCCCATTCGCCTTTTAAAAAAAGTTGATCATGGTTGATCTGGGAATTGATCATGCGCAAAGATGTGCAAAGTTCTGAGAAAAAAAGAAGGGTCGTTCAGTGAATGAAAATGGCTTTGGGATTCTCCGACGTCAACAGGGCCAACACCAAGGAAACCCCCCCTTAGAGCCTGGCACTTTTCAGTGGTGGACACGTCTCGACTTCTCAACTGTGGGAGTCTCAACAAAGAAAAGAACATGCACTTCTCGGTGCATCGGGTGCCACTCAACCGCAGCTTTCATCACTCGTGACCACACGACTAGAAGCCCAACCTCTCCCACCTCCGCTCTGAAGTCAATTGGGCATGTTCTTCAGCTGGTGAGAAATCCCTGGGGAAGAGAAAAAGAACGGACGAAAAAATCACAAAGTACTTGATTGAACCCGTTGCTAAGGGGGACCGGAACCGGTCCTGCGTGCTCCCTGAGGCGCAGATGGCCCCCGGGCTTCCGCCGCTCTCTGCGGTCCTCCAACCTAATGGCAGCAGTCGCTGGTTGAAGAAAACACCGTCTCTATATGCTCGGTTTGAGGAAGGTTATGGGCACACATCACCGCTGCCCATGGACATGTCACACATCAAGCAGCAGCTTGCAGCTTGATCTCGATGATGGAGCTCCAAAACCATGTCAGAACCCAAAGAAAGAGTTGCCCGCCTTTTAGCCACAGGTCTCTCATGAATGATCTTGGTCGGAGGTGGTGATTCAACATCTTTAGTCCGTCTGCACTGGGCGAATAGGCAACCCGGCCCCACAGCACCAATACCAGCTTCAATCAGCTTTTGCTTTTTCAAGTCCTGCCGGCGATGCCGGAGGAGGAGATTCTATCCGACGCGACAGGTAGGAGAGGGCTTCAAAGGCTGGCACGGGGGGAGAGGCAGAAGATGCATTGATTGGCCCCCTAGCAGCCCTAGCAGCAAATGAACTAAGTGTGGCTTAGCCCTCTTCAGGGTCCGTGACGCAACTAGGCAGCAAATGAACCAAGTTGAACCGGAACCAAGCAAACGAACCGGCTCGCAGGTCTTGGAACAACACTTCGATCCTCGATCCACTGTTTGGGAAGAATCCTTCCGACACCAACGGCGCTCGCTCCGCGCTGGAGCGCTTGCTCCCACGGTGGTTCGCCGAAGGGCATTCCCACCGGACAGTCTTTGGGTTGGAGACACCGATTTGAAGGATCGGGCCTCGATCTGATGGTGGGCCTTGTCACGGATTTTCTCCATCTTCCTGAGCAAAAGCAGAAAGGGAACATGCGTTGTCACGTCCTCACATCTCCGGCAGCTTCTTGAGACCCCAGGATGATCAATCTCATCTCCCACCTCCCAGGTGTCGACCCCGCCTCCTCATGTGGTAGTACTTGGCGGCCACCGGCTCCGGCAGCGAGCTCAAGGCGATCACCTGGACGGCAGCTCTCCATGGACCAGGTCGGCGAAACGCCCCGTTGAGGCTCGGAGAGGTCAACCAGCGGAAGCAGGACGACTCGGAAGGCGAGTCCAGTTCCAACCAAAGAACACCACTCATTCATTCCTCCTGCCCATCGGCATGAAACAAATCCGGGTGCGCCTGATCCTCGGGTCCACCAATGTCTTCATTGGTCTCCTCATCACAGTGAGTCCAGAAAGGTCTGGTGCCTTCCAAATCCCTCCAACTTTACAGTCCAACAATCATGCATCCGAAGTGGACCGTGTCGGACCTCCGAAGCAATCTCTTCGCCCAATCATGGTTCAAACGAGCATTTTCCTGTGCCGCTCACTTGTTGGATCATGTGACCATGTGGCATCATGCTCAGCACGCCGAAAAGAAAGAAACCACCGTGGACGAAGCGTCTAATCCAACCATATTCCGATCACTGCCCAATCACTGCCCGGAGGCTCCGTACAAACCATTATTGTCACATGTTTGGTCAAAAGGGTGTGCACGAATTTGGACACTTCAAGCCTTGTTTTTTGCCGCTCAGCTTGCGCACGAAACTTCTGTTAACCGGCTGCAAGCCAGTCCGGCATTTTGGTGGGTGTGGGTCCAACTTCCGACGTGCGCCTTCCACTTAGCAGCTTCCACATGTACTTCTCTATGACCAGGTGTACTTCTTAGGTGCATCAAAAGCAGGCTTCTGCACACCGGAAGGTGCGTACACTTTTCGCACGGCTCTGGGCGTCTTCACGGCTCTGGGCAAATCGCAACACTTTCCCCTCTTTCGGGTCTGCAACCGTGTGCAACCTCTTGATTCTTCATTCCGCCTAAGGGCACAGTGTTGAAGGTAATCATCAATCTGCCCAGGGTTTTGTGGCTGAAAGGCGACGGGTAAGCAGCTGGAGTGAAAAACTCCACGGAGCTAAGTTGGGTGGCGCACCTGTGACGAGTCTTTCAACCATGCGCCACAAATCCCGATCATTTCAATCATTGCGCACGGCCTGCGCTGGCAGTGCGGGATGATTGCTCCACCCCTTTTCTCGGCACACGAGCAGGTGTCATGTCTCACTCTGAGTCGCCGTCATCTTCGTCGGATTGTGCGTTCTCACCGTGCAAAAGGACACTCTCCATGAACCTCACGAGACATGCGTTCTCGGTGAATCTGTTTTTATGCAGTTCGTATACCAAGTGCTACCTTTGCGACCCACCTCATTCCAACAAACTCTACAAACAGTCAAAAGGATTGGAGTCATTCCACTTGCTTGCCTGCCTGCCTGCCTGCTTGCTTGCTCAGGCTACGCCGTAGAGAATACATGTGAACCCACACGCTTTTCACCCCTGGCATCCTCTGAGGATGGAAATCTTTGGAAGTTGTCAGGTGCCTGGAAACCATGTGTCTGCTTCTTGCGTCACAGGGGAGAAAAAAAGAAAAAACATTCCTGTACTTGCCGCTGTTTGCTGTCAGGCCACCAAATGCAAGCCCTCTTCCGTACTGGCTCCGGGCTGGGCGGCTTTGGCAGCGATGGAGCAGTGTGGTGAGTGGCGTGAGCCACTTGGGCAGGGTTCAGGTGCGCTGGTGGAGGACCCTTGGGAGGCACCGGCATCAATTTTGGCGTGGTCGGCAGGCGCGTCGTCACGGACCGCCCCATGCTCGAGGCGCGGGGCGGCGGCAGGGCCGGCTCGTTGGGGCGCTGCTTGCCTAGTGGGAGGGGAGGCGGATAGACGAGGTTACGCTGATTTCACACCTGTGGTGTCAAAGGGTCTCCACAGATGTACATGTGCTTGAGAGGCGTGAATGAAAGCAAGAACCATTCGGAATGCAGCGCTGGTGGAGTGCGCGCTCTTGAATACTACAGCCCTGGTTTCAACGGTCATATTTTGGTGGATACTTTGCTTGAAAAACCATTCCGGCACGAATCCGTGCAAGGAGTGATCACCAATACAAGCGAGGGTGTACTCTCGGTGCTGCCCCAGCTCCGGCTTCAACAATACTTGAATGGACACTTAGAGGGATAAGTCATTTCCATGTGTTGCGACTATTATCATCAATTGCGAGTGGATCTTAATCAGCGTAGCTTGAAGCTATCACTGACGGTCCATAAGCGGCGTAGCGTCGGAACGGAAACCGCACCTTTTCTAGTCGCTTGATCCTTGAGCCAAAGTACATATGGTATGTATATATATGTACATGTTGCACTGTACATGTCGCTGCACTTCCATTCGCACCCCCCATGTGAACGGCAACAATATGTTCCGATCACACACGAAAATTTAGGGATGTAAGTGCTACAAAGAAATTTTATGATTTGCCGCGAGACTCATATGAGGCTCATACTACGAAACATGCTGGACTAAAGCGGACTTTTACATATAAAGTGTGCAACTATGGCTCAGAACCTTTTGAAAAAAATCGAATTGAACAAGTGAGACAGTCACGAGGCCTCGCTCAGTATCCACTCAAAAGAGCTTCGCTTTGATGTAGATCCGAACTGGTGACTTCCACGTAGATGTCACATCGGCAACTGACTTCACGCTTCTCAAAGGATGTAGGTTTTGGTTTGGATACACTTACAGAACGGCAAGTCGGAGAGACAGTCGGTGATTGTCTTCCTTCCATTATGCTCATGGTATCAAATCAAATTGACGATTTGCAATGATACACTTACAGCGTTCCAGGTCAGATAGACATCCGGTGAATGACTTCCTCCCTGGCTTGCATGGTATCCTCATAGTCGTTCAAAGAAATCACCACTGGTGATAACCTCTCCGTCCACGATGATCCCAGCTGCCCTGAGCATCCCACCGATCATCTTCTCCCTTCTTGGACTTTCCCTTGGACTTGCTCTTTCCCTTTCCCTTTTCAGAAGGTTGAGGTACTTCGCGACGTTCTTGCGTTAGCGCCGGCCTCCAAGATGTTCCAGATTGGCCTCCTCCTTTGGGATGTCCTCGGGATGATGAAGAAGTTGTACCTTCTGCTGTATGTGCGTTGGCGGCAAGATCTTCCTGCAAAGCTTGCTCAAACACATCGGTAGCACTGGATGGTGATTTATCATGTGGTCTGGCTTTTGGAGCAGCCTTCACCTTGTTCTCCTCTGCTGATGAGGGCCCGAAACTCTTAGGTGCTGCTGAAGGTTTTGGCTCCTCACTTGGTGCTGACGACGGCTTGGCCTCGGTTCTGGGTGTAGATGCTGGCTTTGTCTCAGCTCTTGACGAAGATGTTGATTTAGCTGTTGCCTTGGCTGCCTGCTTCTTCTTGCCCTGAATCTCCTTGGCCCTATCTCCAAAGCCTAGACGATTGGTAAGAGCTTGAACATGCTTGTGTTCTACCACGCTCATCCATCTCTCTGTATGTCCAACGTTGGGGTTTCTGGCCATTGACTCTATGACTTCCTGAGCTTGTGGGGGCAACCTAATCTCATGTTGATCAACGATCAACAGAATAGACTTCTCCCACTTGCTCTTCATTCTCGAGTACATGATGTCCAGAGGATCGATCACCTTGTGGTAGGGTGATGTAATGTCGGTTCTAAAATAAGAATATGTCCGACACCCATAAATCGCATGGATGCACTTCTGTACCAATTCAGTCATTGCACTGGCTTTCTTCGCTTTCAACTCCTCAAGCTGGGCATCAGTCAAGTTGGTGGAGTATTCGAAGTTGCCATATTCCTCCTTGAAGGATTTCGGAGTATGACCAAATGATAGGATCATGAGTGCTACCTTGCAAATGAATTGCTCTCCTCTGAATCGATGCCAGGCCTCCTCAGTTGTAATATTGTTGTCGTTGGCAAAGTTTAACATCATGTCATCTGTTGGATCCAATGGTCTCCCATCGTCATCGATTTCAGTGGAATCTCCTGTACCGAACTTGCTTATCACATCCAGACGCTTCTTTTTCCAATTTGCTTTGAAATCGGTAAGGCTGGTGCAATAGTAGCTCTTGTACATCAGGGAGATCATGTTCAGCACACATTTGACCACATACCTATCCATCAAACCCGATGCATTCATGGAGACGTCCTGACAGTAGGCTCTCTCTTGATGCGCATAGATTCGAGGTTCCGGTACTCGACAATAGATGGGGAGATCTTCGTTGTCTCTTCCTTCTTCGGGATTGAACTCGGTCGCTCCGTGCTGTGCATAGTATCCCGGTTCATCACGATCTGTCGGTCGATTCGCCTCCGGATGTAAGTCGTCGGTGACGTCTTCATCCTCGGGCTCACCATCTTGACGTTTCTTCCCCTCATATTGTTGTGTGCTCCTCTGGATCTCGATGATCACGTTTCGTTCGTCTTCATCTTCTAGATCAGAGTCACGACCGTAATCGATCTCGTCCTCATTGAAAGATGGGGTCTCGACATTGTCACTCTTGAGGTTCTCTGCACCATCAGACGGTTTGGAAGGATCTTGATTGTCCATGTCCTCGTCGTCTTCAGCTGCTTCAGTTTGAGCGATGTCTTCTTCCCAAGCCTTTCTGATCTCGTCCATAGTGGCCTGGTCCAATATATCTTGATCATCATGTTCAGGCTTCTTCTCTTCCTTCTTTTCCTCTTCATCGTCGCTCACAAGATCAACGGGCGAATCGGAAATGACAGTGTTGCGAATGCCACACGAGAGTAGCCTGCCTTGACAAGATAGGCACACGGACAAAGATGAAGAAGTCAAATGCATACATGATGGACACAAAATATTGCCATCCACGTTGCGATACCCTTCACGTGTTCTGGAGATGATTTCGTCCCAAGTTTCCTCACTGATGGAATCCTCGATCAGCTCTCCATTGTCATCGAATCGTACTTCATCGATAAGGGACACGAGCTTTTGGACGTTGTCATCTGTCGCCGAGGCTGACTTCGTGACTTCGTCGGCTCTCTCGAGGATGGTATGCTTCTGAGCAACCCAAAGTCCATGACGTACCGCTAGAACAACTTGCTCTCCAGTGCTTCCCAGCAGGAGTCTCCTCCATGCCTGACCGTGGTCGTCCCAATACCAAGCACCTCGTACACATCTCCATGGAACTTCTCTAAAAACAACAGTGTAGGAATTCTCCGAAATTCTTCCCCCAAGCTTCCTCAAAGTCATGATTGGAACATAAAGGCAAACGGGCATTCCCCCTCTTGGCCATCTTGATCTCAGAATCTTTGATGATCGATCATCCCACGGCGCAAAGTGGTTGAAGAAAACACTACCTCTATATCCCTCCATTCCACCAGGGACAATTCCTAGTTTCATGATTGACTCAATATTGGAAAGCGATGTCATGTGAAAGCTTCCTCCAAGCTGCATTGCCACATTCTCTGGGATGAGATGTGAAGTCCACACAGGATATATTGACACATCCTCTTCAAGAACAGTCTCTCTTCCAGAATTGTGAGAGGCAACAGCTCGAATTGCACAAGGAACGATCCAACGTTCATGCTTCAGAAATGACGGTGCATCTGTGCCGTGAAACATGAGGTTTGCCCAGTATCGCCTTTCCTCTTCAAGTGAGACATCCTCCTTTGAGATGCGAATAGCGGCAATCTGATAGCGTACTCTGTTCTGCAACTTCTTTGCATGCCACATCGCCTTGCATAAATACTGGTATCGCTCTGTCTTGGTATCTTGCTCACGTTGAGTACCTGTGATAGTATTGATATTGACACCATCGTTGAAGACATGATCATATTCCAGGATCTCATCGATGTTCACCCATCCACCCTCATTGCACTTCGGGGACACATGAGGTTTTCGACCGCGGTGCGATTGAATCCCATTATGCTTTCCCACTCCATGCCTGAGTAGTCTATTGAGTCTATGGCTAATCTCGTTGACCCATTGACTCTCCTCGCTGAGCTTGTCGATGCGAATTTCTGGGTTCATCTTTGGTGGATCCGTGAAAGTTGCATCTCTCTTCGGTCCATTCCAGTACTCCACATAGAATGTGACTCCATACTGTGGAATTATCTCAATGTTTCCTCTATCGCAAGTCACCTCAATCTGCCGATATCCAGCCTTTTGAAATTGTTGTGGGTCAGGAGCAAGGTCCTTCACTTTGGGCATCTTTATTCCGAGTGCTGCAGCCTCCTGAATAAGTGCATCAAGTTCCCTCTTTCCATCAGGACCTGATCTATCCACCCTGTGATTTGCGACCCTGTACTCTCCTCCTTCTTTGTCATCGGCAATGTCAAAGAGGTCGACGGGCTCTTTGAATCTGGTGACGAAACTGGCGTTCCCAAAGGCCTTCTTCGTTGCCTCGACCGCTTTTGCGTATTCCTCTTTTGCAGAGTCTGACGAATGTGGTCTACCTTTGGCTCTCGGAGAGTAAGGTGGTACCTTACTTCCTAGTTCCGGCTCTTCTTCGGGAAGTTCAATATCTTCATCATCCACATCCATGTAGTCCTCGTCTTCGACGTCTTTGGATGACTTTGCTTTCCTCTTTCGGCTTTCAACATCACGTCGGATGATTGCCTTGTCGTCCTCGGTGAAGCATTTGCGCATAGTGTCCTCCATGTAAGAGAATGATTTCATCAACACGTCCTTCTTCTCAGTGTCGGGACAAATAGCCAGGTGATGTTGGTTTGAACCACAACAATAGCACACATTTTGGCTCTCTGCGCGTGCTCTGACTCTTCTGAGGTTGTCATAGGCGGATTTCCAGCTGGAAGCGATTGCTGTACCTTGCCCACCGCGCTTGGCAGCTCTTTTCCGTTCCTCAGT